ATCAAACTTAAAAAGTCCAAGTTTGGTAGAGATTGTGAAGCCTCAAAAACAACAGTTGATATTATTGAAGCCGCAATTTCCCTGTTTTCTTCCGGGAAGCAATTTAGCCCCCGCTCTCGCTCTCTGGACCAGGCAATAAGATTCCCATTAAAATTTTGTAGAGTAAGTTAATACCGTAGCTTGAGTCTTTGAGATATTCAGTATCTCATTTAATTATCATCAATGATTGCTTGGGACCAGATGTAAAGTATAAGATAATTGACCACGTTTTTGGAGCAGAATCGTCACCCTCATCGTCACAATCAAATCTACATATTTAGGATCTCCCACCGACTCAGTGTTGTACGGATGGCATGGCAACTAATGGCGCCCTGGTTTTATCTAATCCTTGAGACATTATTTAATCATTCTGAGAGACTTAGATCATCCTCAACAATCGATTTTCTTCTATATTTATTTCTCGCCCATTCGAAGAATAAAAGCATTGAACTATATGTACCCTTTCTCTTTGATTCTATATTAACTTGTTAGTTTCACGAGAATCTGTTATCTTAATTGAATTTATTTGTAGATGAGATAGATTATAATAGCACCAAATTTTACTAACAGCAATGATGACAAAACCAGAGCTATAGAGAAATTGTTCTTCCACTCTTTACATCAAATTATCAGATATTATGCCATATAATTTTCTGAGTATATATGTTAAATTAAGTATTAAAAGAAAAAATTGATATAAACCATCCATATAATAATATCTGGTATACGCGATAAGCGTCTCATAAATGGGAGTGACACGTGCAATTTAATAGTAGATGAAGTGTAATAGTCAATTATGACATTAAATATTATATTTTTACCCTTTCATTGATATAAAAGCTCTCATATTATCTAGGGCAAACCTAAGATCCAGGAGAAGACAAGAGACATGATGAAATTGAGAAATGGTATGTACTTTAACCTTTTGGCTTTCTCAATCTTGCTCTTCAATTTACTTAAGTATATATATGTGTTTAGGTATTTTGCCCATATGTATGAGTAGATCTGACTATTATTAGTTGTTGAGATGATGGATCTTATGTTATTTTTCTTTAATTAGGCATATTAAAATTTATAGTTGTAAGAAGACTGAACATATATAACAGGTTTAGAATGCAATTAGAATCGGTGAGACTGAATATTGTGTTCTGTGTTTCGGTGGTACTGTAATTTTAATTCTTTGTTTTTGGGAGGCTACTTTCTTATCAGCTGATTCTGTATGATTCTACCTACATATTGTGGGTTCAAAATTGAAATCCCAAAACAATTATTCTGAAGTTCTCTCTCTCTCTCTCTCTCTTTTTCTTCCTTTGTAGAAAAGTTCGGTGCACCGCCATGACTAATTTCTCACCGTTCATAGACGTGTTTGAAGTAGTTACACGTAGCAGTACTGACTTGCATTAAATAGACTTAAGAGATTGACGATGACCGCCATCTTCTTATATAAGACACAAAACCATTAATTTCCACAATTATTCACAAACTTCTGAAATGTTGCTGTATTATTTGTTAGCGTATCGCTAAAATTCTGATCATTAGTCTACTTTATCATACAAAAGAAAGAAGAAAACAAAATTCAAGAATAATTTTGAATAGGGAACATCACTCTTTAAGCTTTTAACATAATTTTGTGTGTTGACTTGACATTAATGAATGAGTCCATATTATTTATTATATTATTTCTCATTCAAACAATTAACGATTTTGTTTTATATATTCCTTGCAACATAGATTTAGAGTATGTAATATCACTCGTAATGTATACGTTGTCAATACATTACTCTTAATACTTACCACATGAGTTTAGTATAATATTATTCATTTTAGAATTTAAATACAAAGTGTAGTGAATGATAGCAAATCAACAGAGTGCATGGCATCTTTATCTATATATTCAAATTGATACGATTTTATTTCCTTATTATCATAATATATTTATACACATTAATGTTATTGTTTTATGTAATCTTTAATCTATAAGCATGGCTTCTCGTTTTCTTTTATTATCAAATCTGAATGCAGCCATGATGAGCGGGGCCACTGGCTACAACTCTGGCAGTAGTTTGAACTTTAAAGTAGCAATAACCACGCGTGACAGGTACACGCAAGCAGAGTAGACTTGATTTGATATGCCATTTATTACTGAGCCTTAGACTCTGGGAGTAGAGTACATGAAATGAATTGAAATGTTGTCATGTGGTCGAGTTCAGTTCAACATTAGGATGCCAGCCTATTAAGTAATAAGCAGATTCTATAAGTTTATGTTGAAGATGAATTTAGGTTGGATGGAATAACTAGTTTCCTATTAGTATAGAGGAAAACAAAGGTAAGATGGATTTAAGGGGAATTGTACCATTGCCGTCAGGTAACAATCATGCTTGTCTACATCATGGAAACAAAAGGTTTACTTATATTTAATTACACTATACTCCCATATATCTGTACAGATACAAATACAATAAACAAATAGCCACCTCTTTTAATAATTGTAATTAATGGATAACGAGTCTAACTTGTGGGGCCTTTTCTTGATATGTATTCACAATAAGTCACCACAATTTCAATTTCAATGCCCAATTTATTCTTTTTCTATAATGAACGCTTCCTCGTATACCACCTTGCAAATCGTCGGTTTGTTTGGTTGCCAGCTATTTTTCATTTGACGGCAACAGTATGCTCTTTTCCTCTGCCTATATTTTATATTTTATCTCTTGTTTGATGTGAGCTAAACTTAATTGGGTCCTATTGGAGATTATAATTTTGATTGAGAGAGCAAATTAGGTAGAGTAAACTGTAACAGCATCTCAAGGCGATGTCTTTTTCTTTTAAGTTGTTTATGATGTTCTGTTATCAACTATGAGATTTTCTTTTGACTTTAGCCCTATAAAACTCCAACTTCATTGTCCAAGTTTGGTAGTGATTGTGAAAATTCAGAGATTAAATAGTTGATATTTTGAAGCCGCAATTTTGTTGTTTTCTTCTAGGAAGCAATTTGACTTTGATGGAGATAGTATTGGCAATTCCTTCGCCTGCAGCACTCAGGTAACCTTCCCATCACTTTATCGTATACTATACAGTCCAATTTATATTATTACTTAAGATACACTATTTTCGTCATTCCTTTTTGATAGTTAGTGATGCCTATATAACGTACCAAGTGGCCAAATTGTTAATGCATTAGGCCCTAAAAGCTTATTGTTGTTGTCACAAGCATGAGAAATGCTAGTTTCAGTGACGTAAAAATGTGAAAAATAAGATTTGACCTAATTTTCAATTAATGGCTAATTCAAGATTCGAATTATATGAATAAGTGTAATTTCCGTTATGAATCTGTTAAATTCATGGTTGGAGATGCTTCTCATTTAATTTTCATAAAAAATGAGGTTGTAAATCTTGGAATTATTTGTCACCCCGTCAGTTATCGTATAACCTTCTATTTATAAAATTGACTTTTGTCGAGTTAAAAAAATAGTATAAAATACATGTCACGTATTTGCAACAGAAAATTGTATGATCAACCTAGCAGCCACGCCACCGGTTCTGTCGTACGGATAGATGACTGGTGACTGGGTTAGGTTTTACTCATCCTTCACTTCCAGTTTTGTTGACTCTAAGACATACTATTTCTTCATAAACCTTCACCTAATATAGTTGATTTCTCGACCTACCACATATCTAGATCTATTCTGTTTAATTATTAAACAAATATTACCAATATTTCACTGCTGACGTATTATATTAATGTTAAAAATTCGATTGATTGGTATGTATTATTCATGTAGACCGAACAGCTTATATTATAAATTCGTTTGCGACCATTGCTTTCTGATAAATACGTGTGACTCGTGGTTTACTTATAATACATGAACTAATTAAGGTCACCTATATTACTATTACATTGCCACGGCTATTGAAAACATAATTTGTAGGTGGACTATCACCTGTATTGGGTTTATTTTCATAGGGAACTAGGTTGATTTTTATCAATGAGCTATGGCTGCATGCATTTCTTATGGATTTAGAGGAGAACGTGTATGCATACATGCGTTCCACAAATCTTATCACTGTCTACATTTAAAGTGTCGATTTATGTACACGTACTAATTAATTAACCGTCCTCGCTCACATGAACCATGTTGCCAAATTCTAATACATCTATTTTCAATCATGCTTAGTATTTTCTCAAGGCTTGTATGCTGGAATCCCCCAGAAGTTTCAGGATCTAAGAGAATTACTGAGTCTGAGAGGGAAAAAGAAACTGCCAAAAGAGATGTATTGTTTGACAGTACAAGGAGTCAAGGATCGGTTGCGGATACATAAGTTTAATACCACGTAGCCCTACACTTGTCAACTTGCTATAAGGTAACCCCACCCACCCAGTACAAAATCTGTTTTAAATCACTGGCAAAAGATCCGAAATTCACAACGAAAGTTATGAATTGAAGGATATTTTGATTTTTCCAGCATGTTTGGTATGGACGGCGGTTGATTGGCTTGGCAATTTGGACCGAGCCGCATCTGGTAGTACTTGTAGACCAGGTAAGTCTAAAAAGGTCGGTGCCACAAAAAATCCGTAAATATCATAGGCGTAAAGGGCAATTTTGTAATTGAAGTAACACGTGAGAGCCCCACGGTTGGATAAATAAAACAACGCTTGCCTTTGTCAAGGCCAAGGGGCCATAATTCTTAATTCGTACTCTGAAGGCAGGCCCAGTACCTAACACTAACAGCTTGACTCTTTTTGCAGTCAACAGTTTTAACGCCAAAATAGTAGAGGCAGCGAGGTATTTCTTTCTTACTCTCACTCAGTCTCAGTTTCAGTTTCTTTTTAAGAAAAATCAATTGCATATTATCTATCTACAAAATTACATCATGTACATACTTTCAGTACTATAACTGTATAGCCTGGAATTACTCTTTTTTTTTTTTTTTTTTTTTATAAATTTTATTGGGTTAATATTCTAAATCTGAACTTTTTCTCTTGAATGATTGCTGAGGACGTTTCTAGCACTAGCCCTAAATGGACAAGTGGAGCTCACAAATCCATTAACCAAGTGAAGGTACGTCTTCAGCTCGTGACACGTGGCGACATTTATACTGTTAAGGTAGGGGGAGTCCCTGGAACTCAGTCTCAGCTCTCTGCCAATCTCCGCATAAGCCCATTGTGTATCTTCAACCCTTTTTTGTATCCAGCCAGGTAAGCCGGCCATTTGGACATTCCCTTTGTTTGACACGTCATCATCCACGTCTATTACAAAACCAGGTACTTTGGTTATTAGATCATCTGAATTCACAATACGTAACACTTTTGTTCCTTGTTTTTCTAGGTGTTGACGGAAGCTCCTGTTACCTACACGTGGACCGCCAAAGGAGATGACGGTCACCATTGGCGCACGTTTAAAGTTGGTTTTTATATCGTAAGCAGCTAGTGTAGCCAGAGCAGCGCCAAGGCTGTGGCCTGTGATGGTTAAACTAAGAGGCTCATCGCCATAGATTTGGAGCAACCGATTAATCTCCTCACGAACCATGTCTTGTAAACTTGGTAACATGGTGGTACCAGAAGTGTACAAGCTGAGGAACCCACTTTCTACCATGGCACCGAAACCATCATCACCAGGGAGGTGAGTAAGTGTAGCGCGTAGATTCTCTAGCCATTCGAGGCACGTGGCAGTACCTCGAAAAGCAATCACAACGTCCCGTCTTCCTAGCCGTGCAATCTCTTCTTTGTCCTGGCAGACTGCCACATAACCAATCCAGCTGGACTGAGTTGACACCCAAGTAGGTGCCTTGTCCATCCAACGTGGCAGATTGATGCCTGATGTTGCACGTAAATGTTTGGTTAGGCGATACCCGGTTTGGGGTAGACCAGAGCGGTCAAATAATGTGTTTTTTGGGAAGCGGCATGTTGCATATGTAGGTGATGAGGGCTCAAAATCGAATGACTTATAAGCAGCTTCTACGAACTCACCATATCGAAGAATTTCGTCGCGCAAATTATCATCTAATGGGTCAAGGAGACCATCCCAGTTTTGGATGCCTTGGTACTCCTTCCATCTCTTACCAAGTCTAACAGGTCTAGGTGTGAAACGGAAAGTGTTTGAGTTGTAGTCAATTGGGTCAAGCAAGCGCTCCAAATTCTTCATGGGTTGGTTCTCTATCGACCTTTTTAAGGGTTGGGTGAGGGTGCAGCAACGGAATGTTATGTGTTTTGTTGGGGTTGGTGTTGGTGTTGTTCTGGAGGTAGTTGCAGATGAAAGCGTGCATTGCCGTACGGCTTTCACGGAGACACTCATTTTGTTTCCTGATCCAGTGATTAATGGCTCTAAGACTACACAATTACGGGCCCCAACGCTTTACGTGATATTTCAGGACTGAAAAAGGACAATGTTTTATGAGTGAAGAGGGAGAGAGTGGGTGAGCGAACAACAACTAGAGATTAAAGAAGGTAGAGAAATGTTATTGATGCCGCAGATACTACCTACTGAACTGCGTTTAGAGGGCTTTTGCGGAGCCGTTTTATAAGTGCAAAAAGTTAAATGAGAATTTAATGAAGAGGAAAAAGGAAAGATACAATGACAAGACAAAGNTAGTTGCAGATGAAAGCGTGCATTGCCGTACGGCTTTCACGGAGACACTCATTTTGTTTCCTGATCCAGTGATTAATGGCTCTAAGACTACACAATTACGGGCCCCAACGCTTTACGTGATATTTCAGGACGGGAAAAGGACAATGTTTTATGAGTGAAGAGGGAGAGAGTGAGTGAGCGAACAACAACTAGAGATTAAAGAAGGTAGAGAAATGTTATTGATGCCGCAGATACTAGCTACTGAACTGCGTTTAGAGGGCTTTTGCGGAGCCGTTTTATAAGTGCAAAAAGTTAAATGAGAATTTAATGAAGAGGAAAAAGGAAAGATACAATGACAAGACAAAGAAAGTGTGGAATGATAAAGGGTAGTTGATGAAAAGAGCTAGCTAGCAATAAAATTAGATAATATATGACGCAAAAAAGCTATGGAGAGAGAGAGAGAGAGAGAGATCGAACTAAGATTTTGTTGAGAAAAAAAAAAAAGGGTATTCGGAGAAAGATACTCTGGAGTGTAGAGAAAGAAAGAAGAGAAGTTTTAATTAGCTAGATACATACGGTTGGTGGTGGGGACTGGGGAGGAGTTATAACTGGAAAAACCATATAATGGGGTCCCCAAAATTACTGATCTATGATGATGCACTGTGAGAATTGAGATGATGAAATGAAGAGAAGATATGGAACTCGTGACCTGTGGGCCTTGTAAAAAGTCACTATCCAATCGTTGATTTACTTTCAATCAAGCGGGATACATTGACTCTGCCGAAATATTGAACGGAAAAATTTAATAGATCTCACTTTCATAAAGTGTAATACCAAAGTTGAGAACAAGCACAGAGACATCCACGTAAGTTCTGCTTTCCCTTAAGTGGCATTTAGAGATTGTTCTTATCCTCATTGATATAGTAAGATTACTGTAAGAGGTAGATTGATTAATTAGAGTTTGTTTTTGTTTTGTGGTTAATTAATTAACTGTTGGTATCCTCGTGTCATGTTGGGACAAACAAGGTATACCAATTCAAGTTTTCTTTATCATAATGTAATCCTGTTTGTTAGTTTACATGAAGACATGCATAATCACAGTTTTACATGTTAATCTCATTCTTCAACTGTGCATCTGCCTGCCTCGTCCACGTTTGAATTTTCCACCTTTATTTCGTCTCTCAGAACTTGCCAATAAGCTTCCTGGTGTATGTGTTTTCATGCCTTTCTTTGAGTTTCCATAGATCTGTTTATTTGGTAACAAAGTGCACGTTTTCACATCATCTTTTCATTTAATTGATCAATGTGTTTTCATATTTCGTAACTAGTTGATATTTCAACCACACTAATATATACTCCAAGTTGACAATTTCATAGAGAAATAAACTTCCTTTTTATGAAGACTTTCAGTTGCTTGCCAAAGAATTAACTTGACGCACAAGCTCCTTGTTTTAATGGGTTTAATTTGACCAACTATTTTGTAGTTTGATTGCCCTACAAGTTCACATAGCCGTAGATTTTGACATCCAAAATCATAATATAATAAAAGAAAGCAAGTGTTTTCAAGCGATCTGTATATATGTTTAGGTAAAGATAATTACTATAACCTCGTTAATTTAGCAAGCTTTGTCTCCTTTTACAGATGTCTAAAAAAGTAGATCTTAAGATGAGAAATCTAAACATTGTTGTCAAGCATTATTATATTTATCTCTCTCTCTCTCTCTCTCTCTAATAAAGTAGTCCAGATTTTCTTTAACATCAATTTTTTCGATAACGACTCGCTCTTGTTTCTTTCCATTATTTAGAATAGTTTTTGCATGTAAGAGTTAGGAAGCTTTTACTGAATCTAGCTGGTACTAGAATTTTCTCCATGTCTAATTAAATTATTTGATTATCTGATTGAATTAAGTTTCATTCAAAGACATCTGAGAAATATTATCAATGTCAGTTTAATTATGTAACACGTATTTTATGTATGTTTATGTCTGTTGCTAACTGCAGCTTAGCTGGAGGAGGTAGATAATGGCCTTGCGAGACATAACCATTGATATAGACAAGAAGATTTAATACTGAAAACTGGCCCTAAATTATTATTATAATTATGTAAAAAGAAACTAAAACCAGGAAACCAACTTAATTATATATTTCATTACTGAGTCCGCCTGCCTGCCATATAAAAAATAATAATTCAATTCCCTAGGTGATATCTTCTCTTTCTCTCGTTATTATAACCATTTTAATTATCACAAAAGTGGTTTGTGGCTATAAGCTGCCATATATTCCTTGTATATTGTTGAAGAAAGTGGAAATAATGCAGTTGCAGTGAAAGTTCAAAATTTCTTTGCATGGAATAATAGCTGCTAATGGAAGAAAAGAAAGTTAGGTTTCTACTGTAATGAGAAGTCGAGGTATATCACACTACCTTTCTTGGTTTTAAGAGGATATTTTCTGTAATGTATTTGCCATTTTGAGGTCAATTATATCATGCAATTGTATGTACATTCATTGGAAATTAAAGTTCCTCTCTCTTTTCTAAACATTAATTCAGTCTCACCCTTCACATCAATACATATAAGGAAATTAAAGAGTAAAGTTCAAGTTCCTACACCATCAGGTGGGATGCATGCATCCAATTGCCAACATTGACACGAGCATTTGAAAGTTATATTTCTCAAGCTTGTTTAAAGAAACGTTTCTTCAATATAATTCTTAAATTACGTCAACAAAGTCTAGATCAATCTTTACTGGAAAGTCCAATGGAAGATGAAGATCCCGTTAAAGGGGTTGTAATTATTTAAGTGTTGGTATATACATGTAGGTCATGCACTATAAATATAACGATTCTATTCTCTGAAGAAAATCCAAATTCCTATTCATGTGTCTATACACAATAACAAATACTCCATTGCTGAAGGGGTGGTTTGGTTTCAAGATAGGTGAGTTCATTAAATACAAAATGGGCAAGTGGACCAACTTATATATATGCTATAAAGATTTTTATTTATGAAAAAGCTCTTTGTTGTGGCCTCTCACGTTTATCATCAAGAAATACCTAGGTTGGATTTCAATGGTGGGAAAATCGGAGCCAACGCATATGGGACCCAAATGAGTTACCATATTTATAAAACGTACAAGCCATCAAAATGACCTTTTAATTTTGAGTATCTTTTTTTTTTAAATGTTTAACTCTACAATCTACACTCTTCTATTGCAAACAAAAGATTCCACTACAAAAAGGCCATATACATCATGTGCCATCGTCTCTTTTCTTTTTCATGTTTTGGCCATAACAAAAACCTTATAGCCGCCATTAACATATCATGTGAGAGCCAAAGCCAAGAGGCACACACAAGCACCGTATACCATATGATTATTCCTGCTGCTTTCTGCTATCTTTAGAAATCAATAACTTTGTGATTCATCAAGTTGTTTTTGTGCTTTGTCTCCATCGTTTTGCCTTAAGAAGATAAATTCCAAAAACATCACCATCACTACTTGGCTTTTTAAATCTCTTTCATTAAGTTGAGTATATTTCCTTTGATTTGATCGGTTGGGTTAGAGTTATATATATTACTTCCATTCATGAACATTTTAGGTTATAATCAAAATTATTTTGTTCTCTAATTTCTAAAAATGGTGATAAGTATATAGAAGAAACTGGTTTATGGATGACAAATAATGCATTAGATAAACAAACTTTTAAGGGTCAAGTTTGTTTAGTTAAATTTACAAGATTTGATGGGTGCATTTTTCACATATGGTTCAAGGAAAAGGAAATTTAAAACCAAAAATAGTGTATATTTTTATTATGTATGTAATAGTAGATTGTATTTGAGTTTTAGTTTTTCAAGTAAGTTATAACTTATATGGATCAAACTCAAGAGAAATTTTGTCTTGTGTAAACATATTCGTCAATCATTAGGGCTGCCAAGTGCCAATAATTAATTGTTTTTAATACACTTTTAGTTTTCTAATAATTTTGCTAAAACCACCGAGTTTACGTGATATAAATTACTTTCTTTAATAGGATCGATCAATATATCAAGTTTGGGGAAAAGTGAAAAATATATATAAATATGTGTCAATATAAAAGAAACCTATGTGTATGTTGATGAATTCGTTTAAGAAATGTGTTTAATTATGTTAATATTTAATTTCAATTAAAATTAAATTTAGGTTGTGTTGCATGATTGAAGGGATCTTATAGTTTTTGTGGTGAGTTTAGGCCGACCCATTTGTTTAAATAATGTATTCGGTCACTGTTCAATATCTTTTTAGGTGGCCCGTTCAAAGAAGGGCCTCTTTAATCATACAAATCTTCTGGTGGCCCCAAAAGCTGTTGATTGATAAAATATTGTCAACATTTTGTTCAGATTCGCACAGACGAAGATGAACTGCAAAATTAAAATTAAAGATTTTGTTTTTATTACACTAATTACTATTAATCATCTCTAATGATTAGCTTTGATTTTTCAAGTCATGTATCACCATAAGAGAAGAGAACCTCTGCCTATGGTATAATGGTAAAAAAAAAAAATTAAGATTTGACATAATTTCTCAAATTCGACCCTCCACGAGAATAAAAAAAGTATAACATCGTCTTTAAAGTTTAAGTTCTTATAAGCCTTAAAAGTAGTGACTACTACAGGATTTACACAACCTTTAATTTCAGATACTTAGGATTCAAGAGATTAGTTGAGATGTCTAAAAAAAAAAAAAAAAAAAAAAAAAAACCCTCTCTGCCCAACAAACCAAATGTGGCTGTAGCTGGGACCTCAAACTAATTGCCATGTTTTGGATTGTTAGAACTTACAACATCAATTTTAAATAACTTTGTTGGATTTGCCTTTTAGAAAGTTGAAAGAAACGAAAGAGAAAAAGCCGATTTGGGACCTTGGGTTCTAGAATCTAAAGGTTCCTCTGGCTCTGGCTGCTTACCATATAGTAAAATTCCAAGTGTCGGTTTGATGGCCTTTCTCAAATGTAAAACAGGAGCGAAAGATGATTCCTAGTGTGAGTCAGACTATTGAGAATGGATAGGACCATCACTTTTTCTCAGAAAGATTGACCATGGGATCTGTTTGACTGTTTATGATGATTCTGTCTTGTCGGCTGGACGAATCAATTCATCTGGGTGCTCATTGTTTTATTACTTTATACTTAATTTAAAAAGAGCCAAATTGTTAACTGCTGCTCAGACACAATTTTTGACTTGTGACCCTCACCACTCTCATTGCCAGTTGGCTTTCCCTCTTGTTCAGACTTTTATAATCGATTTTCGCATCAAGTACAGTATTGGGTATCTCTTGAATCCCAGTCTGAAACCATTCATCCACAGACCACTATATATGTCCGTGGAATTTGTCCACGTTTTCACCCATTTTCCGCCCCAAGATGGTCGGTCAGTCTATGAAGATTGTTATGGAGTCAAACTGTCAGGTCAAAGAAGAATAGAGTATATGATCAACCATCATTATCAGTTGAGTTTAATACTGGCTGGGAATTTGAACCAATCAAATAAGTGTTCAAACATAAAAATGGAAGCAAGGAAATCAAAAAATTATTGCCGTTTCACCCCACCTTTTTATACCGCATAAGATCTTCATTATTCCTAATCATCTCAATAATGTACCTAATTTTCGTGTATTTTCCAACAGAAAACCTACCGACCAAAACCGAAACACAAACTAATAGAATAAGAAACTTTGTGGGGAGGTCCGAGTTGTTCCCCACAAAGTTTGCACCCAGAAAGAAGGAAAAGAAAGTCTAAATTTCATAAATAATACTGTTACAACTCCACATTAAGCTTAAAGTTTATAGTAACTTACAGCTTCATAAACAGAATAGCGCCTTCCACTTAACATCCTAGTCCATCTCATCCTCATCGATCTTTCGTTTCCATTTCAAAACTTTGGCATTCATAACTTCAAGCTGAGAATCCACTATAAACATTTTGCTTTCATTATTTTTTTTTCTTCCTCTCCTGTTCAGTTTGTAATCATTTTTCTATATTGCATTTTCATTCATAATAAATTGATATAAAAAAACTCAGACTCAAAATATAAAATGATTAATCTGTGGTACTATTATCTTTTTTAACCCACTGTCTTACTTGCTTTCTAGGATTTCTTACTCTAGGTTTCCTCGTGCCTGAATTCCATTGCTTACTAGTACTAGGCCTATTTGAGGAACCAGTAGGATTTGTTTCTGCCGGGGCAGCCGGTTCTACTGGTTCTTGCTCTGGTGGCTCTCTTTGTTCTTGCTCAGTGGTTTCTTTGGTTGTTGGGGAGGGCAGTGCGGCTGGTTGCGAAAGAAACATACCAGGCAAAACGACAAGTTCTCTCTTTGGTTCAATTAGGCCACTTCTTTCTTCCTGCAATTTTAGAATAGCCTCAAATTTCTGTCTTCTCATGTCCTCTGAATCAGACTGAAGGAGCTTCTCATTGTCATCAACTTCAGGACCATCAGAAATCCTCTGAAATCCAACAGATATAGTAATTAACTTACTAGCTTCACATGTAATAAAACCAACTTCAGCAAGAGAGCAGTGAATAGTAACTATAACATTCACAAGCCCAACAACAGATAGGGCAAAGTCGATGCACACATGCAAGAACAATACCTGACTCTAAAACTTGAAAACTCAATACGTCAAAACACTGATCCACCCTTCCCAAATGAAAAACTATTATATCACGCTCTGCCTACTAGACTACACCTAATTTAGTTGAATAAATCATTCTCACAAAGCCCATTCAAAGTCAGCTGTGAACACTCTATTTGGTTCTTTGCTCATATGAATTATTTTTCTGTCATGAAAAAAGTCCAGGCCATTAGAAGAGCCAGAGACTGCATAAGATAAAAAGAAGCACAAAAACGCTTCTTGCTATACCACTGTAACATATTGCCCTGTAAACTAACAACATTTCTAAAAGGGCTTCAGCTTCATGAAAATCCTACTAATCTTAGACTCTAAAGACACAGATCCCATTTGCATGTTTCCAAAACCATTCTGTTTTTTTCCATTAACAAAATGGGAAAAGTTCTACAGGTAGCCCCACAAGCCAGAACATGTTACATCAGTATCCTCTGAAGTCTCCCCATCATTTCCCGTTGCATGCGAAAAAGAACAAGGTCTAAGAGCTCATCTTTATGACATCAGTAAAAAATTTACCAGGCTGTTTTTTCTCCTATGTTAGTTAACAGACTGTTACCACCTCTGGTTTATCATGGAGAACAGCATTGGTATTGCTCAGGGCACAACATAAAATACTATGTGACAATAAATATTATGATACCAATAAGTCAGGTTGCATACCAGTTGTGAGGATTGACTACCAACCAAGTCAAGCACATGTTCAAGATCTTTGGCATGAAAAATGTTACGGCAAACTGGACAGTTTCCTATGTTTTCTTCCACTGCACCAGACATGTACAGCAATGCCACTTATTATAAGATGTATTTCCATAACAGAAAATTGAGATAAACAAGGTCATGTACATTATTACTTATGACCTTTCAAGAAACAAAAGATATTTTAGTCAAGAAAATATAATGCAAGAAATTTGTGTGCATGTACACCCATGTTCAAGTAGCATGCGAATGCAAAAGCAAACCGCAAAAGTTGAAAACAAAACCTCTTTAATTTTTTTTTTTAAACGGAACATAAGATTTTACACAAGAAACGGAAAGTAAGAATTGGTAACAAACTCCAAGCATTGCTATAAATTCTACTGAACATTAGATGCAAAAGAAATATTTGCTATGGAAGTTCAAATTTATATGCATTAAATAATGATATAATGCTATCATCAATTAAAACTATGANTCAAGAAACAAAAGATATTTTAGTCAAGAAAATATAATGCAAGAAATTTGTGTGCATGTACACCCATGTTCAAGTAGCATGCGAATGCAAAAACAAACCGCAAAAGTTGAAAACAAAACCTCTTTAATTTTTTTTTTTTTTTTTTAAAACGGAACATAAGATTTTACACAAGAAACAGAAAGTAAGAATTGGTAACCAATTCCAAGCATTGCTATACATTCTACTTAACATTAGATGCAAAAGAAATATTTGCTATGGAAGTTCAAATTTATATGCATTAAATAATGATATAATGCTATCATCAATTAAAACTATGACTCACTGATGGACTCACTGATGTAGGATAGTCCACTCACTGAACTGAAAAAATCTTTTTAGGAAACTGAACGACACCTTAAGACCAACACCACACTAAGAAATTGTTCCTTCAAATGTATATGGAAGTTAACTCCCCAGTCAATTGTGATCTAAACACACCTCTTTCATTTCTCATGTCTCTTATAAGGTGCGAGGTGTCTCCATATGAAGCATCATTTTCTTTCTCCTTTTGGAGCCAATTCCACCAGTGAATGATGCAGTCACTGCTAAAAAACATGAAATTTAGAAAACAAAAGTGTTGCCTACTATCAAGTAAACTAATTGTGAGATGGCAACTCTACCTATGAAAGCAATGGAAGCAAGACATCAACTTCATAAATGGCAAGACTTCATCAGTCTCATCTTTGGGGACCAAAGGATACAAACACAATGGACAGTCACCATCAGGATGATTCATACCAGAGAGCTTCTCCACCGATTCCTAAAAAAATATCACAATGAATGGTTGCAAATACATAAAACTCCAGGTATCACCAAACCTTATAAATATAAAAGATGTTAGAATTGTAATCATCAAAATTAACAGTCACAAAACTAAACAAAAAAAGTCCCACATTATGTCTATATGCGCTCTGTTTCCAATTTGGTTTCCACATTCAAGGGTAAACAACATCAAAATACTCACCACCCAATAAGTAGAGAAACAATTACCTCACAGAGTGCAACAAGCATCAAACAAGAGGAGAGTTCACATGCTTTATCTTGTACACTGCTTATCAAGTGTTTCTGCCTTTTCTGGTCAAGACCTTTGGATTCTATAAGATCAACAGAAGGTGGTTCATCGGGATACTACCACGAAAAATATTAAAAGAGAAAAAAAATTAACATACAAACTGAGAAAATCATAATACGAACTTGCTAATTTAAGACAACTCAACTTTAGAAATAAAATTTTACACTAAACAGGTGTTTGATAACTGATCCAGTCTCTTAGTAACATAGTAGAAAATCATCTTAACTGCATAATTCCACATGAAGATTTTGTTTGTGAACAATTACATCGGTGAAACACCCATTACCAAATTTCAACCAAGTTGATTGAGTGCAAAAACGTGAACAAAGATAAGTACCTTGGGGCCTGCTCGTATGTCGATAACTGCTTCAACAAACTACAGGAAAAACATTATAACATCATATAAAAATATAATAAATTAAATCTTGCAACTCAGTTGGTCATAAAACCTAAGGAAACCTTAAATTCAAAACGGAAACAAAAATAAACATAAAAATTTTGAATTCCTTATATTATATTTATCATCGGTAATCTCAGAAACCAAATGCGAAACATAAGATTAGAGAGACGGACCTGTTGGGAAGATACATCAGCGGTTCGAGGCTTGATATGGAGGTGAAGATGGGGCGGATAGGAATCAAGAACCACACAATCTTCTTCATATACAGCTTGTACAGCTTCCAATTCCATCGCCACCTCTTCTTCTTCTGCCATTTTTTTTTTTTTTTTTTTGGCTGCGGAGTGACAGACTAGAAAACGGCTTCGTGCTGTTTTTGATTCGTAAATCCTAAATGATACTTGACTAATGCAATGATATTCACATCCACCGTCGCTGTGTTTCTCAATTTTTAATTTTTTCATTTAAAACAAAAAAAAAATGCCTTTGTTTTTAAATTGTTTATATTTAACAAATCAATAAATAAATTTATTTTAACATTTTCTATTTAAAATTCTGGCATTAAATTTGTTATATTTTTAATGGATTTTATATTAGTTAATATTTAGAGTTTTAAATCAAATATTAGATCGGAAATGTTTGAATCCCACTAATTGTATGAATAACGGAATAACCTCTAATCCTTGGATGAAATTTAATAGTAAAATATTTAGTGGAGTTTAAAAGTATTTCCCATTAATTGTAATAGTAAAATAAATTAATCCATTTGATTATTAACCATAACAATTTGAATTAATATAGGTTAAAAAACAATTCTTATAACTTTTTTTTTTACAAATATTAACGTGACAGTTCGTATTTAATTAAACATAATTTATTATTAGACAGATAAAATTTATTATAAATTAATTAATCACGAACTGAGAGGCCATATATTTATAAGAGAAAGTGAAAAAGGTTCTTGAATGTAGCTTAAATGTAATTATTTATAAATATTTTCAAATAAAATTTTAAACATTTATAGGTAAACTTGACCGTTTTGTCAAACACGTAAATACATAACGCATATCGAATGGCCACATCAGTCGATACGGATCTTCGGTAACGTCAGAGCGTAGTGTAAATTTGTCTCACAAAAAAGCAAACCAGATACAATTCTTCTCGTACTCTATTCAAGACTACCAAATAACGCTTCATAGATTCTGGAAACCCTAAGATCCATTTATTTCCCATCCAATCTCCAAACCCTAGCTTTCTTTCGATGAACTGAACTACTCCTCTTTTTCTTAGATTCTTTTTAATTTCTTTGAAGATTGCGTGTTTGTGTGGGTAATCAAGATGGACATCGAACAAAGACAAGCTGAGCTAATTGATCACTTTGTTAAGCAAGCTTCGACTCAGAAGGGCTCGGCTCTCGGCCCCGTCGTCGTCGAAGCCACTTCGCAGCCTTCGCTCTTTGCTTTCTCTGAGATTCTCGCTGTTCCCAATGTTGCCGAGGTCTGACCTAAGTTTTTTTTTTTTTTTTTTTTTTAATTCAATCTACCACTTGTAATATTTGGGGTTTGCTGTTTATAATTTTTATTTATTTTGTTTCCTTTTTAGTGCGGTTTATGGTCTTGACTAAAGAATTTGTGCAGCTTGAAGGAACTGAAAACTCTGCGTACCTTGATGTGCTTCGCTTGTTTGCACATGGCACATGGAGTGACTACAAGAGTAAATATACCGACTTTTGTTTTTGAAGCCATTTTTCTTCTTTATTTACTGTTACTCAATATTTCTTGTTTTGATATTCAATGCATCTGTATTGTGTTTTATTATTCTTTCTAATTCTTGCAATGATGGTCTGCTTGATTATTTTTGGAGAAATATTTGTTTAGCACCCTATTTGAACCAGTTTATGGCCAATGGTTTTTTGGGAAAACTGGATTTCTGTGTTTGGTAGGTAACCTTGGAACCATCTAGGATTGGATGCATATTTTTGTGTTATTAATTGAAGCCGATGTGATGGGTCATCTTTGCAATATCAAGGAATAAAATGAAATTTATTATGTTTATGAAACGGTGCCATCTTTATTGATGGATGAAAGCTAGATAGAAATGACTTATGAAGCTACCATTTCCTTGGCGCATTTATGTAACTTAATTCTTTCCCATTGGAATATGTTCTTCAATTTTTATTGATAATTGTGAATTTTAATCTTTAACTAGTTTTTTTTTTTTTTTTTAAATTTTTTAATATCATTGGCAATTTTTTATTTGAGTTCTTGCCAGAGGGTTCAACTTAGTTTAGGAGGAGTGTGGACGTTTTTACTTAAAAGGTTCCCATATGTGTGGCATTTACGTAATTACGTCTACATTTGACAGTTCATATGAATCTCAGGCTTTGATTGAGGTGCTTCAGGGACTCTGATGTGCTTGAAACTAGTCTTTGCCTTAGATGAAAACAGGGCATGGGGTTTTATATAGAATGACCTAATTGCTTGGTGGGTTGTTATCATTACATTCTTTTCTCTTTTGTAGATCTTTGAAAAGAAGATATGTGTTTAATTTGTATGTGTGGGTAAACATTTTAAGGTTCTACAATCAAAGGAAAGATATCAAAATAGGAAATAGGAAGTTGCAAGGTAAAGAATAATGATGCTTTTAGCTGCCCCTAAAATGTTCTATAATGGATGTTGGTTGTCAAGGTGCTTCTTTGATGTGTAGTGGAGTTTTAACTGGGCCGGCTAGCTGCTGTTATTGTTCTTCTCTCCTTTTAATGCTTATCTAGTGCATTGGGTTTAATTCTGATTATTGAATCTATTCAATTTACAGGTAATGCTGGTCATCTTCCACAATTGGTTCCTGATCAAGTCCTCAAGTTGAAGCAGCTTACTGTGCTTACCCTGGCTGAGACAAACAAGGTAACTTATTATTGAAGTATCTGTGTTAGTGTGTCAACCTTGCACAGTTATCTGCCTAATTGGTATGTACACCTGTTTCCTTTAAATTTCTGAAGGAAAACTGAAATAAATTCGTAACAGGTGTGTTATTATGGACTTGTTTCTGTCTGCAGTTGTCATCAAAATGGATATTTTACATGGTCACAATTGGCCACCCGAAGTTTGATTGCAGTCTACTGTTATTATTTCTAGTCTTTATCTGTATGCTTATGTTATTCAGTCAAAATGTTGGACGTATCTGACTTAACCTTTCAATGTGCAATTAGAATCACAATATTTTCTATTATGTTCAATCAAGATAACACTAATTGAACAATAATTGGGATATTCTGAGTGATGATTATTGATCCCCTAGGTTATATTCATTGTCTCTTTCCCTGATTTGCGTTTATTTTTCATAGACTTTAAATACTAGGCCTTTTTTCAGGTACTACCCTATGATCAACTAATGCAGGAGCTAGATGTTTCAAATGTACGTGAACTTGAAGATTTTCTTATCAACGAGTGCATGTATGCGGTAAGTATCCTTCTACTTGGTTCAGAGTTGTGCCCCATTTAGTGACCAATTTTGATTTTGTTTTTATTATGGCTTAAAACACTCTTATTGATGAGAAATTGGCAAGCAATGCTCTATTCTTGAAGGATTTGTGTTCAATATATTACATATGGAAGAATGATCCTTTTTTTAGTTGTTATGTTAATAGAGAAATATTCAAATGGTGTTTGAAATTTCAAATGCCATCTTTTTTGGTGGCCTTTGCTTTGACTTGCATTTCTTTCCTTCTATTAGGGTATTGTTAGAGGAAAGCTGGATCAGTTGCGAAGATGCTTTGAGGTGAGCCACCTTATCACTAGGCATTAACTCCTTAATTATTTTGTTTAAAAGCTGAATGGTCTACTGCTGATTGTAAAATGCAGGTACAATTTGCTGCTGGGAGGGATCTGAGGCCTGGACAACTTGGGAGTATGATACAAACGCTATCTAACTGGTAATGTTACTAAGTCAACTGGCGATTAAATTAGTTCTGTATTTTTTGGTAGGACCTTTGTCTATTAAAGAAACACTATTAGTGGCACCTAAAAGACAGTTATACTGTGCCACACAATTACAAATATTCCTGGTGCATATATGACCTTGATAGCTAAGCTTTTGACAAGGATGCTATAGTCTCATACTACATAGCTTTCACTTACTCCTTTTGTGAATAATGTTTTTTAATTCTGTGGCAAAGGTTAGCCTTTGCTTACTTCAACTAGTAAGTTTTAAGTGAATTAGAGTTACATTATTCTTCTCAAGTTATATTAAATATTTAAGATATAAAAGTCAGCTGGTCTATTGTATGCACATGTTTGTGAAAATTTGGCGTGCTTTAGTATCTAACATATTTGTATGAATGAAAACCTAGGTTGTCAACCTCAGATAATCTACTCGTATCAATTCAAGAGAAGATAAAATGGGCAGATACTATGAATGAGTCAGACAAGAAGCACCGGAAGGATGTTGAGGATAGGGTGGAAGAGGTGAAGAAGTCGCTTTCACACAAGGTCTGTTGAATCCAGTTTTAAATTCAAAAGATTGGACAGTAGAAGCATAAAAGTTGGCTATTGTCTAATTATGAAATTTTTTTTTTAATTATGATTTGACTAAGCTTTCAGGCTTGGGTATCCAATCTTGTATAATTGTAGATTTTCTGACAAAATAGGGTTATTCAAAATATAAGGGTGAAAGGAAAACCCATTACACAAAATGAGCATTGGAGGGAATGTGGTCTCCTGTTTTGCTCTTTTCTTAAGTTTGGGTTGAATCATTAGTTGTTTCCCGTCTTACACAGGATGCACAATTACACTTATTGCAAATTTAACTTCCTTACTTTATTCTTAAATGGTGGAATTGAGCAAGCATGTTTCTGTGAGGGGAGGTGGTAGAGAGTTATTTTAACTTTTATAAATTTCTACATAAGTTTGGGCTTAGAACCATTCAAATACCGAGATATGTTGGTCGATGTGTCTTACTTACATTGTGGCAGAAGTTACACACTGTAAGCAGGCAGACGTTGACTTCCGAGGGCACGAGGAGATCTACTCTGAACCTGGTGGAGTGATGGATTATGAAGAAGACCGTAGCCGACCCAAGAGGTAATATGATATGCCTTTTGAAACTGACTCTCAAAATTATGTTTATTGAGTGGTGCTCAACTAAAATTCTATGCATCTATTATTCTACAAATTAAGTGATTAAAAATTGTGTAGGAAGCAAACTGCATCATGTAGGGAGAATTCTAGACTATGATTTTGTATATTTTTGCCTTTGTTCTCTTGTTGATTAATGACCTTGAAAGATGCAGGAGGCGACATCCAATGTCTTGATGCAAATGATAGAATGTGGACTCATTGGATGGTAGTAGGTGATTTGCCACATTTTTGCTCATGGCAACATTTCTGCTCTTGGGAGGAACATTTCTTTGCTAGTGAATTTGTCATTATCGTTTGAGGTTGATATCTGAAAATCGTTAGCCTGTCGTCAACCAAATTCTTATTTCTATTGAGTTAGCAAGGACAAGACCACATGTGTTGGTGCGGCTAAAAGTTTAAGAGTTAGATACTCAACTTTGTAATTTACTGTATTGCGCTTTGTTGTTGCAGTTGTTGCTACTTTTGTGATGAAAATTGCTGTGGCTATAATATATCACATGCTTTCTGCATTTTATCGTTCCAATCTTGGTAGAACTGTAATGCAACTATAAGGTTTTGCAAATGGGGGATCTCATAGTACATCTTGGTGGTAATACAGGCTACTTTTGCTTTTGCCTTGCGTTTCATGCATTTGCTCTCCTTTCAAGTTTATATATGGTTCTAAATAAATCTGAAAATTCCATATAACTTGAGTATCTATTATGGCTAAGCAAATGCAGTGGAGCTGTTTACTCCCACGTGAAAATTACTTAAATACATCACAAACTACCACTAGAGAAGCCCTTTTTCCTTTTAGGGGTTTGGATTGATCCATCATCTTCTCCGCTTAAAGAGCTATCGTCTGATGAGGATAACAAAAAAGAAGGCTCCGGTGAGCGGCGCTTATGGTTAACCCTAACGGGCTCGTACCCATCCACGCCAATGAGATGCGGAAAATTAAGCTTAGCTTTGGATCCGCGCATTTTAAAAGCGGCTTTGTCGTAAGCCAGCGCTGCGTCCTCAGGCCTTTCGTACGTACCAAGCCAAACTCTGGAGCCATTCTTCGTAGGATCCCTAATTTCCGCTGCAAACTTTCCCCACGGCCTTCTCCTCACTCCCCTGTAGTTCCATTCCTTCTTTGGCGTTTGAGACTTATTACTCGTCACGCATACGTTTGTGGCCGCCTCCTCTTGTAAGATGATATTACTGAAGCTTGAAGTCTGGCAACACACAGAAAAAGTCATTGTATTTTCGAAATCATCAGAAAGAAGAAACTGGCGAATTGAATCTAGAACAGCCAAATCTGATTCTGAGGTACTGCTCACTCCACTCATTTTTCTTTCTTGATGAAAGTCACTTCTCTTCTGTAAATATCGTGTGTGTTTGCTCGGGTTTTGGAGGATGACTGTTTATATAGCTATAACTTTAGACTGAACTTGAATCACTCTTAACATAAAGTATTATTATCACTTGTTATATTATGAAGTTTCATTTCATCATTTCTATGAAACTTCATTGGCCCAATTTCCAACTTTACATGGGATATAATATAAGCATATTGTTCACATGTTTGTTTTAGATTTTTTTTTATAATTTTATATTTTTTTAAGTAGTGAGAGTTGGTACTTGGTAGTTGGTTCACGGGAGATTATTTAATTGACCAGATGTATTGGAGCATTCAAGGAAGGAACTAAAAACTAAAAATGAGAAGGACGTAATAATATTCCTTCAAATCATACTTGTTAATGGAAATATTATTATTATTATTATTATTTGTGATTGTGACCAAGATTTATTATTTCTCTTAAAAGAATATATAAGCTCCAGAGGTAAAGGCTCCGTTTGGTTCATTTTTTTGTATTTTTTAGAATTTTTTTTTAAAAAAGTTAAAAAAAATTGAATTGGACAGGTATTATGATGTAGGATTTAGAAATTAATAAAAATACCCTCTATGTTTGTTTATTTACTAAACACATATATAATAAAACTTTGAAATTTAACAAAAATACCTCCAACCCACCCATTGAATAATCACAGCCGACCACCACCGTCGGAGGGTGGCTGGAGTCGCCATATCTGCTTATGACCGGCTGAATCTTGCCGGTCGTGCACCGATATGGCCTTTGCCGACCAGATCCAAGGTGGATCTGGCTGACAAAGGCCAGATCTACGACTAGATCTGGTCATTGACTGCCAGATCTGGCTGCATTTGCTCGTTAACGACGGCCAAAGATACGGCCGTCATTGATGGTCAACGACGACCATATGTTGGCCGTCGTTGACGTCTAGTTACGACTAAAGATCTGGCCGTCAACGGCCAGATCCAACGTGGATCTAGTCGGAAAAGACTATATCAGCGCACTACCAGCCAGATTCAGCCGATAGTGCGCCATTATATCAGATTCCGGCCAACTTTCGACAGTGGTGGTCGGAATCTAGTATAATGTGAGTTTAGGGGTGTTTTTGCAATTTAAAAAAAATATTTAGAGGTATTTAATTAAATTAACAAATTTAGAGGGTTTAAAAAAAGTTGAATAATATTAGATAATATTGTGAGTTTTTTGGTATTTTATTGTTTAACTTTTTTGATGATTCTCAAAAACCAATCAAACGGAGCTGGTACTTGGTGGTTGGTAATTTTTTTTTTGATAATTTTATATTTTTTTAATTAGTGGGAGTTGGTACTTGGTAGTTGGTTCACGGGAGATTATTTAATTGACCAGATGTATTGGAGCATTCAAGGAAGGAACTAAAAACCTAAAAATGAGGAGGACGTAATAATATTCCTTCAAATCATACTTGTTAATGGAAATAATATTATTATTATTATTTGTGATTGTGACCAAGATTCATTATTTCTCTTAAAAGAATATATAAGCTCCAGAGATAAACTAACACATATTATAATCTACAAAAAGAATGTGGGTTAAATAAATATTGCCTCCCCTGTTTTTTTTTTTTTTTAAAGATTCGAATAATTTAATAAACGTATTGCCTCTCCTGTTAAGTTGAAGACATTAACATGTTCAAAGATGCCCAAAAATATAAACAAATTTAAGCCAAAAGTGATTAATATTATTATCTTATACTGCAATGGGACATTTTCTTCATTGCATTCACATGTGAAAGTTATGCAATCATTCTCTTTTTCTTCCTCTTATGAAGCTTATTGGATTCTATATAGTGCAATGGTTGTTGAAGTAATATTTTTATTGAACTAACAAGAATAAACGTATAGATTCTTTTAGATTATACATAATTCACCGCCAGTAATCCTGAAATGAAACCTAGTTGACATCCTTTAGACAAGTCAAAAAGAAAATGGGACTTATATTATTCTATTCTCTGTGAGTGTGAATGGCTAATATTGACTGTGGAGAATCTCTCGTATTAGACAATGGGACTTCAGTGTGTCTACATTTCCTTGAAACTTCATTGCTTCAGCCAAAAACTCATGTGGCCTTAAAGTAATATATAAAATAAGGTTTATTTATTTTTATATTTTCGTCTTTTTCTTATTTTGCGTAACTTTAATAAACTTTCTTGGCCAGTTGAACAGTGGATTAGAAATGACGTTGAAGTGTGTAGATCTCAATTGAATTATTAGCTTATCTATAGAGAATATTTTATCATGTCCATATGCACATTTATCATGCTTGGTTGCTTACCCAATAATGTTGTAAATTAATATTTATATAAAGGTCTTCCAACCAAGGATAATTCGTTTATTTCATTAAATTATAGGAGGCGCAATCACGCTTCTATATATATATATATATAAGCAAGAGTTTTTAATAAACCATTAATTTAGTGCTAGACTAATACAAAAAAAAAAAATTTTTTAAGTGGTTCTGCAAGCTGTAAATCCTATATTCACTATTATTTTATTTTATTTTATGTTTTTTGCAAGTACAAACAACCTCAGTTCTAATTACAAATGAGGCGGTTTTTAGAACAAGAAAATGGTGTTCTTCCGAAAGATTTATTCATTAGGGTGTGAGATCCCTTTATATATTGTTTGCCTTGGTGGATTTCCTGATAAAGGAACCCTCACAAATAGTGGTATGCAGCATAGGGTGTACACAGATGACAGAACAACAGGTAGTCTAGGTTGGACTTACATATAAAGTAACTCTCTCATGAGATAACACGTGACCCTATTGACAACACAAACTGATGTTTATCAGTGAAATAATGTTTAGTAAATTTACAAGTGAAATAGTCCTTTAATAAAGTGACATGTGATCTGGTGACAACGCATCCCTGGGACATGTGGTGTAAATCTATGCAAGGTGGAGATATATATATTGTTGTTAGCTTTCCAGTATGATAGATAAGTTTAATTTATGATAAAAAGTGAAATCAAAATTCAATTCAAGTGGAGAGTCTACATTTGATAAACACGTAATATCGTAATAGACAATGTCTAATGCATGTTTTTACAAAGCCAAAGCCGATCTTCTTATTGATTATTAGTTAACAAACATAATAAACTATGATTTTGGCTTGAGGAATAAGTTACAAAAAGTACGGCTTCATTTGATATATTTTTAATATCCGATTCTACTTTATTTATCACACAAAACATTAATAATTACTCTTCTCATAAATATAAGGGGATTTTACTTTTTTTCAAAATATTATTTTAAAAAATATCATGATAATAAACCCAACTTCGCCATGTGATTTTGGCTCCGAGGAATAAGTTACAAAAAGTACAACTCCGCCATGAAACTACCGACATTAATTGTTTACTGTTTACTTCGCTTTGACTGGGGCGACGGAGGCTCACATGAACGGCGGCGCTTGGGGTTGACTCTTACTGGTTGGAAATTAACGGAGCCGATCAAATGAGGAAAATTGAGCTTTGCTTTTGATCCGCGCATCTTAAAAGCAGCTTGATCATAAGCAAGTGCAGCGTCTTCAGGCGTCTCGTAAGTCCCCAACCAAATTCTTGATCCATTCTTCTTTGCTTCTCTAATCTCCGCCGCGTACTTACCCCACGGCCTTCTCCTCACACCTTTATATTGCATTTGCACCTCCTTCCGTGGAACCCGCATTTCACGTTCCACCACCAAATTACTCGCCTCATCTTGTGTCTCTGTTTTAAGAGCTTGATGATCACTTGACGGATTCCATCCGTGACAAACAGCGTCACGTAGAGCATTGTACACTACCATATCCTCTGAATCATCCACTTTTAACGGTAAAGTACCCCAATTTTCCGTTAAAAAAATGTTGCTAAAGCTTGAATTCCTGCAATATGTTACCCCATTTTCGCCGGAATTCAAAACTGCGCTGCCAGTTGATTCAATTATATTGAAGTTTGACTCTCTGTACATGTCATTCATTTTAGTATACAATGGAGAGCTTTGAATAAGATTATTGCTGGTTGATGATTACACAGGCTTATGGTTTATATAGAATGAGCAGTTTGTCAAAATGAAGAGTACTTTTCAATTTCTGTGCAATCACATGTGTGAATTCACCCTAATCGATTAATGCATTTTCCATGAAAGTTCATTTGGGCCACGTGTTTTAAATATTTGAAGATAGGGGATGACGTGGTTCACCTGGAAGTGTCATTTGATTTTGACAATGTTTATGGTTCTATTATATCTATCTATTTCTATAAGACGCGCAATCAAATAAATTCAGTACTCTTGGTGGCTTTAGTTTTCTTCTTAATATATATTTCTTCCCTTTGTCTGACCATTGAAGGCGTTTGTTTCAACAAACTTAATCAGAGACAGACAGCTGATTATAACTTGGATAGAAACTAGGGAGACGACGATATATACAGACAAAAACAAAGTAGGTGATGAGAAGGATAGCCCATTTGCTTTAAAGTTCACATTTTTTTTTTTTTTATAAAGTTATTCAAAGCAATTTTTTTTTTATTATAATTAAAAAAATGTATTTATATTTCTGGTTAAGACTTGAAGGCCAGGTTGAACAGTTTAAAGGGAAAGAAGAAGAAGAAGGAAGAAATAATTATAAAGATGATTCTCATGGTGATTGTTACCAATATGAAATATCTTTACAAGTTTTGTCAACCATGCTTTGGAAAATTAAAAATTTTGACCGTGGAAAAGAGAAAATAGTCATCTCCTCTTTCTCTAATTTTCTTTTGGGGCATTTCCTTCATTCCTTGTTGCAATGGTCGTAAAAGCAAAAGAGAGAAATTATTATAATAATTAAATCTGAAACTATGGTCAGAGCTCAGAGATGTGAAAATTAATTTCCGGATCTCAAAGCTTATAAGATATCGTGTGTCTCAACTCTCAAATGTTGATCTCTTGAGATATGGATGGTGGAAGTAAATATAAAAAATTTGCAGTATATCAAATCTACATTTCCATTTATGGGGAAATTTGTGCTCGCGTTTCACAGTACGAAGACATTTATCAACCAAAGATTCCTTTCATTTTTCTCATAATTAAGTATTGCCTTTTACATGCCATGTGGGACTGGTGTTGTTTTTTTAATATTTTATTCTTTTCATTTTCTCGAAGTTCTCCATTTCTTTGATTCTTGTTTTGAAAATCTGTGGCCCCTCTAACGTTTTTACATTGGTCGGCCAATTTGATACTTTGACATTCTTAATGTTAATTAAGCTACTAACTAACCAAATCAATTTCAACATTATTTGACAGTAAAGTTCATTCAATAAATTTTTGTTATACCTAAAAAAGTAGGGTTGACAATCTTATCAGTACAGGATAGCAAAAACCTAGGAAGGTTTGACGACTGTTCAGACGCGGCCACGTTGCATAATGACATGAGTGACATGCCCCTGTCAGTGCAGTGGGTGAACGCTAGGTTAGTAGATTGTTTGAAATCGTCCATGTGTCCAATCCCTACACAAGTCGGAAAAATCACTCAGACAGGTGAGCAATGAGACACGGAGAATGATTTGCACAGTATCCACCCAACTTGTAGATTTAGGAATAATTACCTTAATTCATCTCACTATAAATAGAGGCATTCTCTCTCATTTGCGGGATTGATTAATTTCACTCTGGAATAGTATACTCTCTCTCTATCCCTCTTGTATTTTTCAAGCTATAACTCAGCTCGCGGAACACGACCAAACTTTACTCTCATTAATATAATATTAGTGGACGTAAGATTCGCCTTGGAGCATCCAAACTACTTTAAACATTGTTTTTCACCCTTTACTTAACTAAATATTTTCATATCATGTGTGATTTCTAAGTCCGCTTAACATTTTTCACGTGCGAATAGTTGGTATCAAAATCAAGCATCAACAATTTTATTTGCAGAAGTCTCAGAAATCATCTGGTAAAAATTATAAACAAGACATAACAAATAATACTTCATCAATAGGAGAGTATATATTTCTAGTATATTTTTATTGTTTAAGCAAGGTAGAATGGCTCCACATACTCTTATCTTATACTTATTTATTTATTTAAATCAATAATATTTAATATTAATTACAAACATTATAAACGAGATATTTAATGGAGAAGTTAGGTGTATTGAGTTTCAAACTTCCATCATTAAGCTTTTCGGCTTTATACCCCCACATTTTCTAAGTAGTAAATCCAATAATGATTTCTAAAAAGGAAGTATCTATGAAATAAATATGATTCAACAATTCTCTACTTAAAAATTGCAAATATTAAACACGTGCATCCTTTTTCAAGGTAACGATGCTTGACGGAAACTTAGAAATTAGAAACAATAAGAGTGTATATATATGTGTAATAGCCATTAATCTACTCAAAGAGATACACCAAAAATCCAAACAAATACAAACCCTAGCTGGCTATCTTTACTTTACATCCAGAAATGTATGAAGTCATGAATAGTTCAGATTCTGACATGGCTCTTTTAGATTCCATTCGTAATTTTCTCCTCGCTGATGATTGTTATGAATCTCCTGACAATGCTCAATCGTTTTACAACCCCAGTTCAAGCTTGAGTGGTAGTCTCTTTATGACGGAGAACTGGAGTGATCTTTTGCAGGCAGCAAACTTCGGTTTGTCTTCAAACGTAATGTCTGTGAAAAAAGAGCAAATAGAACGGGCCACTGATGTTGCGGATGTGCGTTTATCACACGCTCCTTCTAGAGGAATGGGTTACAGGGGCGTTAGGAGAAGGCCGTGGGGCAAGTACGCGGCGGAGATGAGGGACCCACAGAAAAATGGAGCTAGAATATGGCTTGGAACTTACGAGACGGCTGAGGATGCTGCGCTGGCTTATGATCAAGCTGCTTTTGAGATGCGCGGTGCCAAAGCCAAGCTAAATTTTCCTAACTTGATCGGCTCGGCTAACATTGACCCGGTTAGAGTGAATCGGAGACGGCGTTCTCCAGAGCCCCTCTTCATCGTCATCCGCGTCAGATAGTGGCTCTCCTAACCCTAAGAGAAGAATAAACGAGACTAGCACAGTTACCATTGGTGGTCAGTTTGTGATTCAGTGGCAGTAAATCAGTGATTAAGTGTTCTGAATAACTCACGGAATTTAAAATTTTTGACGTGTTGTAATTACCGAACTTAATCACTATAGATTATTAAATCCCCATTTTGTGAAAGTAAAACGTGTTAAATTTCAATCTTGCCATGTCCAGCGTGGTCACGGAAAGCTCCAGCTTGTCGCGTTTGGCTCGTTCTCATGTCCTTCGTACAAAAATTTGGTGTAAAATTTCGATATCTGTTACATTATTCTTTCATAAATGAACGATCATCCAATATTTATAGATGTCTGTCCATATTTAATGGACTCCTATTCATATTATATGTATGGACGTCCGTCTAAAAAATTTTAAAAGAAAAATAATATATGAACGAGTGTCTATTTACTATAGACGGGCGTCTATATAAGATAGACGCCCGTCCAAAATATTTTAAAAAATTTTATATTCAATGGACATGCGTCCCTTTTAGATGGACGTCTATCCGTTGTTTAATTTAAAAAATGTTATATTCAATTTGGGAGGCACAAATTTTTGTTTAATAAAAAAATTTCTTTAAAAATTTCAATTAGAATGTTTAAAAATTTAGGTCTCCCAAAACAGATTTCATTCCTCTCTTGCATTTTGTTTATAAATGAAAAAAAAAAAAANATTTAAATCTTCATTTGGTTTTTCTAGCATTTGGTGTTTTGTATTAATAACAAATTTATCAAGTACACATTTTTGGGATTGAATTAGTTCTTCTATTCTTTTTTTTTTTTTTTTTTTTTATGTTTTTCAAATCCAGATTCACACTTCCTAGTAGACATCTATATTCAAAGAATAAATAATTTAGAACTCTTAATATTATTTTGTTCAATTAAAAATAATTATAAAAATTAAGAAGGAACTTTAACACTTGATTTATGCTCCTGATTTTGTTTTTTGTTGTGCTGATACTAAAAAATCTTATATTATTACCCTGCATAAAAATAATAATGTAAATCAGTTACTTACTTGATCAAATATAAAGTAAAATCAGTTGAAAATGGTAAGAGTAAAATGATTTAAAGCTCTTAATATTACCTTGCATAAAAATAAAAATAATGTAAATCACATTCACTTAATAAATTTTCGTAATAAAGATGAGAAACGAGAGACAAGAGATGGGAAAGAAGAGACAAGACAATAAACGGAGTAGAGAATAATAAGAGTAAAAGATGAGAAAACTTTAAGTAAAATGAGGTTTATATAAGAGATTTGGGGGAGGGAGGAGATGTGATTTGACATTTGAGAGTTGGAGAGTTACGAGAAGATGTTTCAATTTGTTTTAAGTTTAGAGATAGGCATGGTTGATTGAACATATGGTATGATTGATGGGAATTGAGAAATTATAGATATATTAAAAGACTCTTAGAAAAATAATTTTGGGTAGAGATAGGCATAGGCGAGTACATGATGGGATTGATGAGAATTAAAAAATTATAAACATATTAAAAATACCTTAAAAAATAATTTTAGGCCCTCTTTTTTATTCTTTTTTGGGGGGGCCCTAGGCAGGGGCCTCACTTGCCTATGGGTTAAGCCAAGCCTGTCATGTCCTTCGTACAAAAATTCGATGTAAAATTTTGATGTCTGTAACATTACTCTTTCGTGAATGAACGACCGTCCAACATTTATGGACGCCCGCCCATATTTAATGGACTCTCGTTCATATTGTATGTATGGACGCCCGTCTAAAAAATTTTAAAAGAAAAATAATATATGGACGTGTGTCTATTTACTATGGATGGGCGTCCATATAAGATAGACGCCCGTCCAAAATATTTTAACAAATTTTACATTCAATGGACATGCGTCCCTTTTAGATGGACGTCTGTCCATTGTTTAATTTTAAAAAATGTTATATTCAATTTGGGAGGCCCAAAATTTTGTTTAATAAAAAAATTTCTTTAAAAATTTCAATTAGAATGTTTAAAAATTTAGGCCTTCCAAAGCAGATTTCATTCCTCTCTTGCATTTTATTTATAAATGAAAAAAAAAAAAAAAATTTGAGAGTGGAAGCCATTTTTCATTTCTCTCTTGCCTTTTCTTTATAAATTAAAAAAAAAAAAATTGAGAATGGACGCGTACATACTTTTACTTAAAATCAATTTTTTTTTTCTTTTATTTCATCTAAAAAGTTTATACTTTAAAAATAAATATTTCATCTGAAATTATATGGACGCCCTCCCATCCATATAATATGGATGACCATCCATAGTAAAAGGACTCATGTCCATAATATATGGACGGGAGTCCATAACTATGGACAATCGTCCTCATAAGAGGACGGGCGTCCATAAACAATTTAGGCCAAATTTTTTTAGTTTAAATTATGAACCAGCGTCCATTCTAGGTGGACGGCCGTTCATATAATATGGACGGGAGTCCATTTCAAATGAACTGTCGTCCAATAACAATGGACGATTTATTCGCGAAATATTTGTTAACGTGATACATAACTCGTTTGATTCAATAAACATGTCGTTCGGTGTAAAAATTTGGTGCAAAACGTTGGTGTTCGTAGCATTTTTTTTCACGAAAAACTTCAGTGTGATCACGTCTGACTAGTTTCCATATCCTTCGATACAAAAATTCGGTATAAAATTTTGGTGTTTATAGCATTACTCCTTTATTTATTGAATACACGTGAAAATACAAATTCTGAATGGCTATAGCCCATCATGAAACTAACAGCAGGTCTAATTGAAATGGGCTATATGTATTTGGTTGGCCTCGGCCTTGTTGCTGCAAGCCCATCCCACGATTTCGGTTGCTTTAACGCCCAAAATATTTTTTCTTCCTCTTTTGAATTTGTTCTTAAAAAACANTTTTTTTTTTTTTTATAATATATTCATTCTTTTAGCTTTCTTAATTGATGAAAATCATGAACTATGAGTTTTTGTTGAGTTTAATAAATGAGTTTGAAATTGAAAGATTAAATTCTTAGATTTTGATGTGGGTTTTTATTTAATCTTGTTTATGTTGAGGTATGAGTTAATTAGTTGTCGTTTCAAGTTGGGTTTTATAAATTAAGTTGTAATTGTTGTTTAAGTTGAGGAATTGGAAGGTTTAAAGGTTAGCCCATGTTAATTGTTGAATTTTTTTTTTTTTATGTTTTTGGATTTGTAGTTGCAAATCAATTATTTTTCTGATAATAAAAATTCTTTTCTTTTTTCAATTAAGTTTGTCTTATAAACTAATGTTATTTACGCACTCTTATAGACTTGTTAACTCGCTCTAAAGGTGATGGTGGGCTGTGCTATGCCAAAATTTTCACGACCCACAAAAATGTGGACCGTGCCGTGCCGTGCCAAACAACCAAAACTTAAGGCCCATGGTTCGGTAGGGTCATGTCATGGCGTGCCTTCACAAGCCGACTCACAATTGCAATGGCTACATTTGATTATTTTTTTATTATTTTTTTAAATTCATGGGTCATGTCATGCTGGCCCACGTACCAAATCTCTGGCCCACAGGCAATGGCATAACACGGAATTTTCGTACCCGGACCAAAAAATTTGTGGGTTGCGGCACGACCCATTGTCACCTCTATCTCACTCACTAAAAAGGACCTTGTCAACCACACAATCATAATTATTGAATTTTGTGTTGGTGTTCGTTAACAAGTCTTATGTGGTCTTATCTCTTTTCGCCTGCTCAACATGTTAAATAATAGGTGCGTTTGTTTCACTATTTTTTCCCTATCATTTCCAAAATACACATTTGTTTTCCTATTCTGAAAATACTATTATATTTTATTCAATTATTTTAAACCCCCTAAGTTTGTTAATTTAACTAAACACCCCAAAAAAGTTTAGAAATTGACAAAAAACACCCCCACCCACCCAGATTTGCCAGATTTCAGACACCACCGTCGAAAGGTGGCCAGAATCTAGTATAATGGTACACTACCGGCTGGATCTGGCCGGTAGTGCATCAATATAGCCTTTTCCGGCTAGATCCACGGTGGATCTGGCCGAAAAAGACCTGATCTACGGCCAAAGATCTGGCTGTTGATGGCCAAATCCTTAGTCATAGCTAATCGTCAACGACGACCAAGATATGACTGTCATTGATGGCCGTCGTTGACCATCAACAACAGCCATATCTTTGGTTGTAGTTGACGACCAAATGCGACTAGATCTGGCCGTCCATGGCCAAATCTAGCCGTAGATATGACCGTTTCCAGCCAGATCCACAATGGATTTGGCTGGAAAAGGCCATCTTGGTGCACGACCGACCAGATCCAGCCGGTCATGCACCAATACGGTGACTCCGGCCACCCTCCGACGTTGGTGACCGAATGCCAGTATTTAATGGGTGGGTGGGGGTGTTTTTGTAATTTTTAACGTTTTTATTACAGGGGTGTTTAGTAAATTAACAAACCTATGGGGTTTTTTTGTTAATTTATAAATCTTACCTTGTTATTGTCACCCAACTCTTACTTTTTCAAAAATACTATTCAAAATACTAAAACAAACTTACCCAATGTTATTTACGCACTCTTAGAGCATCTCCAAATGGCTCTTTATATGACCTAAACTTTTTATTATAAAGAGTCTATCCATAAAAATAAGAGTCCAACAGACTCTTTATCTTTAAAATATAAATTAGAGAGTGAGTTTAGCTCTCCACATTTAGAAAGTCAAATTTCACTCTCTATCCTAATTTTAATTAATAAACTACAAGTTTCTATGCATTTTATTTATTAATTATCTCTCTCGTTAAGTCTCTTTCTTAAAAATAAATAGCATCTTTATTAAATTTAAAGAGTCTATTGGATTTGAATAAAAATTGTGTTTTTTATATTTTAAAATTAATGAAGATGTTCTTTATTTATATGAAAGATGCTCTTTAAAATAAAAAGCACCATTGGAGATGCTCTTATAAACTTAAAATATATCGATATCTCATAACCCGAGTGTAACTTTGTTAGAGGTCCTTATCATTATCATAAAAATGGGAATGATGAAGAGAATAAGTGGATCAATCGTAAATACTGTACTATGTTGGAGCATTAAAAATGCTATGGTCAGGAGGTTTAAATGGGAAGTGGGCTCCCAAACGCACCTTCAAAATGACAAAAGTAGTGGATGGGGTTTTTAGTGTTACATTTAGGAGAACCTGGAATGTAACTTCTCTGTCGGTTTGGGTTTGGCGTTTTTCCAAGTAGCTAAAACCTTTATAAGTTGGGTATCACATTTTTCAGTGGAAAGTGATGTTTCTGGACGGTTGTTTTCTTTAAGTAGAGGATCTTCCCCGCACGGGACGTATGTGTACTCGATCAATCAGGATAAGTGCGTGAATCGTTCATTTTAATGTGGTGTATATGATTTTTTCTTTTTTTCTCTTCTCAAATATTTTTATGTCTACTTTTCATTTATGACAACTTGTGTGTCATTCTCAAATAATTCTCTCTTTTTTCCCTTCATATTTTTGCTGGGTCTTATTCCGATTAAAAGCATTGGATAACCGAGACCCAGTCAAAGACAAATTAAAGTGTTCTTTTTCAATATCAAAATATTAATTTAGAATTGAAATTGACACTTCAAGAACAAAATAAACAAACACAATAAAAAAGTCTCTTTCATAAAGAAAACTCAGGGTAGTAAAATTTACAACGAATAATGGCTTTAGGTGCTCTCTTTTGATTACCAACAAGTTCAATCATATGCATGTAATCTAACTTACTTCGATCATCGAAAAATATACCAGCAGCCTTTAACCCTTGAGAGTGTGTTTGGTTGTCGTAATCTTTCATTACTCAGATAATATCATCTTATATTACTTGATAATTACCACGTTTTGATTATCAAGTAATAAAAAATTCTAGTAATATTTCAAAATTAATAATAATTATTATTAGTTATATAGGAGAAAACCTAATTATCTCCATTTTCTTAAGTATTTTAAGATTATTTGGTAATCTTAATTTTTTAATAATTTTACCCTTATTAATGAAATTTTAGGACAAAAATGCCCTTGTTATCTTAACAATTTACAAAAAATTTATGGACAATTTTAACCTCATACTTAGGATTTTTAAGACAGAAATACTCTTGTACTTCAACCAAATTACCCAAGACCATAGCCACCCAAGAGGACTACCGGTCGCCGGCGATGGTGGCTGGCTGTCATCAATGGCTTGGGGTGGGTGGGGATGATTTTGTTACAAATTAAAATTTTATATAACTGGTGTGTTTTAGCAAAATTTCAAATGTAAGAGGTTAAAAAAACGATTCAGAAAATAATATTATATTAATATTTAAGAATGAGGAAAGTTTAGTAATCTATAACATACCCACCAATTTATCCTCTCGACTAAACATATCAATATAATATATCTATTAATTTGTTTCAAGCTAACCAAATACATTTTTTTAAACATTCCCAATAATCTTTAAAACAACCTATATTTCTATTAATATAACATTCTAAAAACTAAACCCACCCCAGAAAACGTATAAGATCTCTTAATATGTCATTTATTTGAAAAGCTCTGTCATTTATGGGGGAATTGATGCTCGCGTGATTTCTCTGCCTTATATGCTTCTGAAAGGTGACAACATATAGATCAATTGCTTGATTTGATTCAATGTGAAATGAACAACGAATTCCACTTGCTCTTGTAAATTATAGAATAATTAAACCATTGACCATTTTCTGCACTAATTTTATAGAATAATATCATCCTCCCTTCAGCTTAAACTATTACTGTTTCAGATGCAATTATAATACCTCAATGAACCAACAATGGGTTGGTCAGAGTGATAAAAGCTAGGGGTTAAGGGGTTTGCTCCTCCTGTGGTTTCAGGTTCAAATCACAAGAACGGTTGTTAATATTATTGGCCATGGACCGTAGAGCTTGTCTTGTTTTGAAAGCTTTGTTCAGGATTAAGAGACTAGACAAGGTGCGCGTAAATTAACTCGGACACCTTCGGTAACAAAAAATAAAAAAATAAAAAAAATAATGCCACAATGTTGGTATAGTAACATCAAGAGGCCAATTTGGATGATAGTCAGATAGATTCACTATTATAATATTTTACAATTACCAGCCATGTGGAAACTCCATAAACTAAAGCCAAGCACTGCAGTATCCTTCCCCATTTTGAGATTCCACTTCTTGGCAAAAATGTAATGATCTTCAAACAACATCAACCATGGTAATAAGGCCATCTTATGGTCTATGATACTTGTTCTGTTGATTCTACAAGCAAGAATAACGCTTCCAGAAGTTTTTCAAACTGTTGTACATGATATGTTCAACACATAACGTTAAGTAAAAGCCTCCACTACTAAAAACAGTCTAAGCATTAACTGGGTGAAGAATGAGTGAAATGTGTTTGTAAACACAGCAGGAAAAAACAAAAATAAAAAGACAGTGCCACTAACAGGGCAGATTGATTTTCTTGCTTGACAAAAGATCCAGTACATGCCAGTATTTAGATATCATCTTTAAAAGTCTCATGGACCGCAGGCCTTGTGATGTAGGGCAATGTGGGATAATTTCACAAATCCATTGATTATGTGAAAACCTGGAAATATGAAGCTGGGGACTGCTTCTAGACCTTACAACCTTGGTAATCAAACTTGTGGGTTATAATATCCCAAACAGGCGGCCCCGAAGGGATTTGGAAGTTTAACCTCTAGGTTGAAACCAAGGGTCTTTCCAACTCAATCCAACCCTTGGAGTTAACAAACGCTGATTTCCCTATCTTCCCTACACACCAAGTATCATAACATGTTGACAAAAAGAAAGCCTGAATATAAAAGCGGTGGGAAAATAATCAACTATAGCTGGATGCTTCGAATGTAAAATGCACTTCATTTTGAATATAACTGTTTCTTCTACATCTCTTGTTGACGAGATCACATCTTTCCTTCAATATGTCTTGTCCCTTTTTAAATATCACTACTCTTTGAAAATAAGATCTAATTAGCAGCACACATAAGCTTAGACTGAAAAGTGATCGTGGATACCTCCCAAGGAGATTCATATCTCTTGCTAAACTCTTCTACTAGTAATTCCTTACCTTTATGGACTGACAAGAATGCATAACTTTTTAATTACTTGATTGAAGCCAAATTTCAAACACTAAAGGACCCAACGTGCTTTAGAAATATTGAGGTACAGAAAAGTAACCGAAAATATTTGACCAATCTGCAAGCACATATGGACATTTTGTTTATGTAAAAGAGATTATTGGGCTGCTTCCAAGAGTTATCCACGTTCCTCTAGTAATGCTGGGTTATCTGGAAAGAAATTGGAAGGCAAGTCTTCTTCTCAGATGATTTTGAGAACTCATAAGCTATTTGCAAGAAAATTAACTCTACTACCACCTTTAGCTTCAGTTCACAACATATTTTCATGTCATCATCAAGAAGTTGGAACTGTAGACTGTTCCGATGAAAGCATATGATTTTTACTTTCTTGTTAGGTATTAGTGTAATCTGTTTATTACACAGTAAATTTTTCAGCCTCCTATTCTGTGTTGTTATTTATTTATTTTGGGTACTTGTATGGTCGTTCCTAGTTGCTTTCTTAAGCATTTCAAAGAAATTTTTCCTCTTTTTAAAGAATCATTTCCTGTTTCCAATAAATGTGTATATGAATGCTTACGCAATTTTAAGTATGACATAGACATGATCAATCAACTAAATCACATAACCATAACATTTAAAACTTGTATAATTTAAAAGGAACCAACACAAACAAAGGATTAACTTCATCAAGAAGAAAACTTTGTTTCAGCAGATACATCCAATCTTTTCTAAACGGAAGTTCTCTTCTCTGATGATGACCTCCTGTGGCTTCTAGTGAAATTCGATCTCTCCTCAGAATTCCTGGAGACATTGTTATCCCCCTCCTTTTCCTTGCGCATATGATTTTGAGGAACATTATTGTTGGCTGCACCTAGGTGTTTCCCAACTGATTTTCCTCTTTCAGGATTTCTCATATCACTGTTCCTGTCCAAGTTAATCCTCCTAGCTGTTTTTCCTCTACTACTTGCAGCATTAATTCGAGAACCTCTCATTCGGTTATGTTCCTCCTCTTCAGAATTCCTGGAGACAATATTATTCCCCTTCTTTTCCTTGCGCATATGTTTTTGAGGAACATTATTGTTGGCTGCACCTAGGTGTTTCCCAACTGATTTACCTCTTTCAGGATTTCTCATATCACTGTTCCTGTCCAAGTTAATCCTCCTAGCTGTTTTTCCTCTACTACTTGCAGCATTAATTCGAGAACCTCTCATTCGGTTATGTTCCTCCTCTTCAGAATTCCGGGAGACAATATTATCCCCCTTCTTTTCCTTGTGCATATGTTTTCGAGGAACATTATCCTTGGCTGCACCTAGGTGTTTCCCAATTGATTTTTCTCTTTCAGGATTTCTCATATCCCTGTTCCTGTCCAAATTAATCCTCCTAGCTGTTTTTCCTCTACTACTTGCAGCATTATTTCGAGAACCTCTCATTCGGTTATCTTCCTCCTCCTCAGAATTCCGGGAGACATAATCATCCCCCTTCCTTTCCTTGCACATATGTTTTTGAGGAACATTATCATCCTTGGCTGCACCTAGGTGTTTCCAAATTGATTTTCCTCTTTCAGGATTTCTCATATCCCTGTTCCTGTCCAAATTAATGCTCCTAGCTGTTTTTCCTCTACTAGTTGCAGCATTATTTCGAGAACCTCTCATTCGGTTATCTTCCTCCTCCTCCTCATCATCATCATCATCCCTGTTCGTGTCCAAAATAATCCTCCTAGCCGTTTTTCCTCTACTAATTGCAGCATTTTTTCGAGAACTTCTCATTCGGTTATCTTCCTCCTCCTCCCCGCTCTCATCATCATCATCAAGGTTATCGTCTCTGGCACCCTCTTCCTCAGAACCAGACGAGTCATACAACTGAACATCCTTCTCATCCTCACTATCTTCATCAGCAGCCTCTCTTTCTTCTCCTTTCAACTCCTTTTCTTGCTGCTCGCTCCCACTTGCTGGAGCAATCACTTTACAATCTTCTTTCATCATATTCATTAGGTGAATATACTGATTTCTAATATTCATCAACGGATCACTCTCCATCAATGCTCCCCTCCTATAACCCTCCCTTAAGACCACTGTATATGTTCCAACCTTACTGGAAACATAAAAAACACCAGGGTGGTTAAGCAAAGCTCTCTTAAACCTTGACCTGATACCCAAGTACTCTCCAAGACAAAACAAATTCTCCCTATCCACCTTCTTCGCTCCAAAAAGACTAATCAACTCGTGCAAAATCGCCACCACCCACTTATCCGATTCATCACTTTTCGACAACAGATGAGCTGCATTCTCATATGGAGAAATGTAAGGCAACTTCTGCCAATCATCCATCCACTTCTTCGTTTTCTTATCAATCACAAAACCGCTAGAAAACTTCTCCGAAAAAACAATCTTTTCCCCATCTTTTGCCTTCTTCTCCATAACTGAAACTGCCAATTCATTACTCCAACAAACCAACTCCAATTCGCCAAAATCCCCCGACCCAAAACAACCATCTTTACTATCTTTACTACCAATAACGCGAAAATAATCGGGAAATTCAGGAACAATACTTCTTAAATAATCTTGAGGAAGACCAATATCCCATTTCAAATTCTCAATAATCTTTAAAGGTACCTTGTTGATTCTCGAAATCATCAACAGTTTCAGCAGCCTATCAGCAACAACTTGCTTATAGGTCTCGCTTTGGTAAACCAGCAGCTCTTCAGCATCAAGATTGAGGACGTCTGGAGTGAGCTTGATATGGGGCTGGACCCCGATGTTCCCTGGGAAGAATTCCTGGAAGATTGAAGGGTATTTTCGTACGAAGTCAATGGGGCGAAAGGGGATTTTCAGGGAGTCTTTTTGCTTGGTGATGATGGAGATTGGGAGGGACTTGGACGGCTCTGATTTGATGAGGTTTTTGATGTTGAGGAGAGGTTTGAGGTTCTTTTCTCTCTCCACTGCGTGGTCGAGGCCACGGTCCCGGACCCATTTGAAGGTAGTGTCAGTGGAGGGGAGGTGGCAGTAGTTACGGCGGAGGGAGTGGCGGAAGAGTAAGTGCATTGAAGGGTTTTGGAATTGGCGGAGAAGGTTCTATTAATTTGAGTGTAGGGCTTTAGAAGGGTTCTAACTTCCAACTTCTGAAGAAGCTGAAAATTACATTCACACCCTTAAGGTTTCTATAATGGTAATGATAAACTTTAAATTTTTAAATTTTTCTATAAATTCTTAACTTATAATTTTTTTATTCTAAATAATGTTATATAAATAAAATTAAGATTTCAATTTCATATTTCTAAGTAATAGAATTAGACTTCATTAAGAACATAAATGTACAATTCATATTGCATCACTAAAATAGAGTGAATTTACACATAAAAAATTGAGTCTTAAATAGATTGATCCCTAAAATGGCAACCAATTTAAGGTTTCTTCAACTTCTTTGAGAAGAGTTTGAACTTAACAAAAGTAGAATTTATATGAATAGTTTGTAAAAAATTGAAAGTTGTTTTGTTTGACAATGTAAAAGACGTCTGATCGTTTTAAATTATCATAAAAGACTTTAACGCAATAGAAATAATTAGTCAAAATTATAAATTACTAACAATGTCTTCTGAAAATTTAACACTTTGCATAAGGGGATACTATCAATTAGGATATAAACTTTTCAGGCTTTATCAATAAAGGGACAAAAGTTACAATTTTTTCAATTAGTAATGATAAAAGATGCCCTTAATTTTATTTTATTTTTAAGTGAATTTAGTTCTTAAAACATGAATTTTGAAAAACTAAAAAAGACCGAAACCAATTTTTTTCAACGGAAATTGAAAAAACTAAAAATTAAGAAATTTCAAAATAATAGAAAATTTAATAAAATAAAAAATATTATAAAAAGGGATGATTTAAATATTTTATTTATTTTTAATTTTATTATTTATTATGTAAAAAATAATAATTTAAATTTGTTCAATTATGTCTTTATGCTTATATAAAGTTATATCTAACCCTGAGCAATTGTTCATTATCCCTTAATTGAAGTTATGACTTCTGTCCTCCCATTAATAAAGTCTGGAAAATCTGTACAATAATATCTCTTAAATAAGTTTGAAAAGAGTTTACGAAACCTAACAAATATAAAATAATTTAATTATAAAATCTCATAAACGCTTTTGTAATGTAACAAAACAACTTTAGAGAGAGTTTCATAAGTAATTATAATTTTAAATAAACTCTTTTAGACAATTCGTAAGTCTAACCAAACAAATTCTAGTGGGAGGATTGTCAATCAAATAAGATTTTCGACTAGAGCTTATGAAAATATAATTATTAAGCCTTATTGTTGTGTGATTTTTCTATTAAGTTTGAAGAAGTCAGAGTCCCACAAGGTTATAGTTCGACTCAAAATCAGATCGACTCAATACTTGTCCGACCCAGCATAAGCTCATCAACATACAACTCGACCCAACAAAAGTTAGTCACGACCAATCCTAACAGTTGTTCGAACAAATTATAGATAAGCTTAGATCCTGGATATTTCAGAAGAGATCAGATCAATAATAATGATAGTGCGATCCTAGCTCTCAATTGCGAGAATATCGGAGTTGCACTTTCATCTTGATTGTAATTCCTTTAATTTCGTTATTTCCTTTATAAGAAACTTGTATATAAGCTCCCTCCAACAATGGGAGAGGGATTAGCAAATTATTCTAGGCATATTATTATTTCTCGTAAGCTCTCTATGAAATAAGAAATACAGTAGATGTAGGCTCAAGATTCAAACTTGCTAATCCACTTTAAAAACCGACAGTGTTCTTTACATTACGATGCCTCTTTTATATTCAATTGCTGATTGTCTTCAATCACGCACACATCCATTCCGATTCCACCAAGGTCAATCGGATTACTCTAGTTGGTGTAAAATCTTGCATCAATATTTTGGCGCTAGAAGGAGGGCCTCCACCTACTTTCCATATTTCTGACAAGAAACAAACAATTTCAGTGAACCGATCACTTGAAATTTCAAATGGCCCATACCAGATCTAAAACCACCACCGGAAACCACGATAACGTGGAAACCGCCCATCAGGAGGTGCAATAGACTGCTCTTCTAGGTCGACCACTAATGACGCTAGTGCAACAAGTCATGAATCAGCAGGGAGTAGGGACTTCGAATCCTGAGAATGGCCAACTGATGGAGATGATAACGATGATGGTTGCACAGGCGGAGCAACAGAATGTGGCTGAAATAAGGAATCAACAACCAGCCCACCAAGACCTCAATCAGCCACACTTCACAGAAGTTACTCCAACGAGTCAGAATAACTTGGCCGACGACTAATCTGGCTCATCAGCACCAAGGAGCGACTGTCACTCCCAACACCACAGGGTGCCTTTCGCTCACGAGCATGAATCTCACATGCAAGTTAACCCCGGGAGGCGACCAGGCAAACAACCTATGGGGGAAAATGAAGGCAATGGTCATCAAAGGGATGCTCACCCTAATCGACGAAATGACCAACACTAGCATGCCGGTTTTAACCCACGTTAAATGCGGGCTCAAACTTTGCAAGCCACGAGATGAGCTGCGCACGCCAATCCGGCAACCATCAACGTTCTAGTTTTAACCAACGTCGCGAGCAATGCACAGATAAGCACGACAATACCTACCAACCTAGCCATCATGACTCCACCTCGTGCACTAATGCGCACAACAGAGCAGGCTCATAAGCAACTAATCTCCGAACTCACCTGCTTGAGGTAAGGCTAAATAGAGCTTGCAGCTAGAATACTCCTCATGATGAGGACTTAGATCGAGTGCAGAAAATAGTCGACGATCTAAGAGCGCACTAGAATAATTCGACAGAAGAGACAGTGAGTTCTCTATTCATGGAGGAAGTTCATTAGGCCTTGCTTCCCCAAGGATTCACGGTGTCGGAGAGCAAGTTCAACGAGAAAGGGGATCCCAGAGACCACCTTGACTCTTTCAATGACTTGATGGAGCTGCATCAGGTCTTTCACTTGGCTAAGTGTTGTTGTTTCGCAGTCACTCTAGTAAGGGATGGTATAAGAGGCTCAAGGCAAACTCAATACAGTCTTGACAACAATTCTCCTCACTGTACTTACAACAATTCTAAGCGAAGAGACAATTCGTAATGTCACTCAGTTACCTGAGTAATATTCATTAGGAAAGAGACGAAACTCTGACCTCATATTTAATAAGGTTCCAAAATGAACAAGCAAAGGTCGCGGATGCACCTGAGGAGGCAATCCGCACTTTGCTTATAGTAAGGATAAGGCCACAGACGGAACTGTGGAAAGAGCTTCAAGGCGAAGACCATGTGAGCTTGGCCAAGTTCTATCAAATGGCTGCCAAACATCAATGAGTAGAAAGCTCACTGGCGACCTTAGCCAGAAGCTTACCTAGAAGAGCCCCAAATAGACAACAAGATCGCCCAACAGATAAAAGGAGGGGCCAGGATCGTAATGATAGGGACCGAAATAGATTCCAAAAAAGGCAGAAAAAAGAATCCTGCGAGGAAAGGCAACCTTTTTCGCTGTATGAAGAATTAACCCCCTTAACACAAGATATAGCTCACATCTATGAAATCTCACATGAGGCTAGAAAATTACCCGCGTCATATAGAATTTGAGGGGGGGGGGGGGGGGGGGAACGACTAGGCATAAGAGATCGTCAGAAATACTGTAGGTACCACCGAGACATTAGGCATAACACTAATGAGTGTGGGGTTCTGAAAGACGCTATTGAGGACATGATTAGAAGAGGTCACTTGAAAGAATTTGTCTATGAGGAGCTAGCTCTTGAAAATCCAAGCGAGTAGAATAATTAGATCTAACAAACCCATCCAGACAACGATGTATTAGTGGTTATGATCTATAGGCAACTCGACATTGTAGGGAGCTCCAAGCGCTCTCGCGAGCAATATGCACAGGAGGCTAGGATAGACTTGATCCCCTAAGTAATGAATTGTGAACAAAAGCAGCCAAAGTGGCCGAGGCTAGAAAGCAAGGTGATAGGATTCACCAGGGAAGAATGCGACCAATCGCCTCGCTACAACCATGATACGATTATAATCACAGTGAGGATCGGCAATACCCAAGTACTTAGGGTAATGTCGATAACGGTAGTGCAGCGAACATCATTTTCTTGGGAGCTTTCTAAGATATGAGGTTTACCGAGCGAGATCTGGGGGCATGTCCATCGCCATTGTACGGATTCACTGAGGATAGCTTAGCCCTCGAGGGAATAATCAAGCTACCCGTAACTCTTGGGGAAAAGCCTCAAATAAGGACAGTGATGACAGAGTTTTTAATGGTCGATTGTCTGACCACTTATAACGTCATTTTGGGAAGGAAAATCTTGGACGACCTGAGTGCAGTCACCTTAGTACGCTATCAGGCAATAAGATTCCTAACTCTAGACAGAATCACAATGTTCAAAAGTTGCAAGAAAGACTTAAGGGAGTGCTACAATCGGGCCATTCATGTTGCACAAAAATGGCCACTCCCGATGACCATGATCATTGTTGAGTCCGAGCCAAAGCCCGAACCATTGGAAGACATCATAGATCCTTGCATCCACAAAGAAGAGCCAACAATAGGCCCTACAGAGAAGCTGCGAGAAATACTTGTCAGCAAGGAAGACCCAACTTGTGTGCTAAAAATTGGGAGCAATTAGAGCGACGAACTAGCAAACAATCTCATGGGACTCCTAAAGAAAAACCTTGATATGTTTGCTTGGGTACATGAGGACATGGTGGGGATCAACCCCGAAGTAATATACCATAGGTTGAACGTCGACTCAGGGGCTCGACCGATAAGACAGAAAAGAAGATCTATGGATCCTAAACAATCTAGAACACTCAAGGATGAAGTTGATAAGCTCTTGAAAATCAACTTCAGTCGGGAAGTAAAGTATTCAGACTAGCTCGCCAACCCAGTCTTAGTGAAAAATTCTAATGGGACGCCACTTGCCATTCTACTTCACTGATCTAAACAAGGTATGTCCTAAAGATAGCTTTCTGCTACCCCAGATCGATCAATTAGTAAATGCGACAGT